AATGAGGTGTTTGTATCCAAACGCCTTATTCATCTGACCCGAGTGCGTTTCCTAGAAGGAAAGAATATAAACCAACACATCTATTCTTCATCAGGGTCGACTCTTAGAGCAATTACGCACTTGTTCGTCTTATGGTGCTCCTAGAATAAACTTGTTGTATTATTTTGCAATAAAACCAAGTGCCCCAGGAAGCCCTTTTTGTTGGTCCTGAGCTTGCATCTGCCCCACTGAAAAGCACTTGTCAGTTAAACCTTTGGAGCCTTGGGACACTTTTTTTTTATTCCATTATGGTTACCTACATGACAGATGTGAATAAAACACATATAGTAAAACTCTATTTCTATAGTGCAGGTTTTGCCACTTTCATATAGTTTACCAGTTTCCTTAAGCCTTAATGGGTAGTGGACACATATTTTTGGCTAAATGGAATTTGACTGCGTTTGTTGGTGACTTCAGTTTGTCTTTTTGAGCCTGATGGATGACCAGATGCGCTGCACAGGCCTGCTTTTTTATAGACTTCTGAGTCTGTGCTGGATGATTTCCATTAGGTACGACCGCACTGTTTGTCTTTACATTCATTGTAGAGCAGATATAGATGCTTTTTGAATAAGTTAGTTGTGTTGAGTTGGAGCACAGACCCAATAATACAGGACTAAATCACTAAAATGTATTTCCAAACAACAGCTAATGACCTGCTTTTAATGTGATCCTGTACATTGCAGGGAACAGGATTTTATTGCCAGAGCACATATTTACATTATCAATCAGTGATGCTGATTTAATTGTGGGAAACTAGACTCGTGATCGAGATTAAAACTGGATTAATTGTGCAGCCCTGCTTAAGTCTAATAACATTTAGCTCTTCTTACATGTAGAAGAATGTTTTTATAACAGTAAGTAGTCTGCTCCTTGTTATCTCTACTCATTCAGACAGTGAAAGTAATGTTTTAAATGATTTATATATCACCCCAGCATGACAGCTGCATTCACAAACTGACCCCTATATATCTAAAAGAATTTATGCTCATGGAACACGACTTGAAGTCTGGCAGCACTTCATAAGGTTAAGCAGGCTGTCCAAATTTCTGACACATTTACTGATCACTTAGCCAGTTTGGCTTTAGTAGACCAGAAGCTTTCATTAATAGAAGACAGGAGTCTGTAGATATACAAACTGGGCATCTGCTCAATCATTCATCCAAATTAAACTGTGGCATCTTTTAAATGCAGGAGGTATGTGGCTCTCAAAGAATGTGCCCTACATATGTCCATAGAGCTAAACACGGCGCCATTTAAAGTGCAGTAAGCCAAGATGAACGCTCATGTGCCACACGGTGAGATGAAATCTATTTTATGATGCTTCTACTGTGTCACAGACACAGAGAGTGGTATTCATAGTTATTTATATTGCTTGGAGTGTGTGTCATCGTTCAGGTGTGATGGATTTTTGGTACCGTTTCAAGTTGGATTTTTCCTTTTATGGTTCTGACACTCCAAACTTATCACATTTAAACGAGGTGCAGGTAATATATGAAGAAACGTTTAGCCCTGTTTCCATCAAAATCCATAAGTATTTCAGCGCTCTGCACATGCAAAATTAAGCAGAAGCAACCTGTTTGAAAAGCTTATCTAAAGATAGTCTGTCTTCAGGCAATAACCAGTGGTTTTAATATTACATTTCACTAAATGCAATCCCTTTTTCACGTCACACAAACTGTTTACCTGTATACAACCAAAGCCTGTTTGGTCAATAAAACTTAGACTTCAAACAGAATGTAGTCTTCCTTGTAAGCACTGAAGTTCTCCAAGTTATTAAAAGGATGTAAGCAAGAGCTGGGACTGTGAAAAGGCTTATCTGGTTACTCTAACCAGACAAGCTGTTCACTGATGCTCTGAAAGAGTGACACAGTTTCCTTTATGAGACAACTCTTTCCTAAAACTTACTTTAGGTAAAAAACACGATTTAAAGCAAACTCTTTGCACATCTGAGCTGCATGACTGCAGGCTAGTGTAATCCCGCTTTCTAAAAGTGGGAGTGTAGAAAGAATTTCTTGCATAAATTATTGAGCGCACACAGCAAATAACAATTACAGCATCAAAGTCTGAAACCACCAAGAAAGCAACAAGAGGTTTTTCTTGCAGTGAACGTTTAACGCAGCATAAAAAGCACTTGTGTTGCTAATAACATTAACAGTCAGGTTAACACAGAAATAATGTGGCCTTTTCATCCAATAAGTTACTGCAAATATTATGTTTGAGTTCACTGATAAACTGTTGGTGGGAGTTATTCTACAGTCTGCTCCCACTAGCTGTAAACTGAGGAGCCAAACATCAAACCGCTAAATTTTTTTAAAAAAAGATGAAAACATGATGTAATTATGACATTTCTGTTTGTGTTTCACCTAAAGACAGTTCAGTAATTTCATCTGCCATCATTTTTATCCTCTTTAATGGAATGAAAGCTTAAGTGCATTACATAATTGTTGTGATTGTCACTTTGTATCAGATAATAGTTATTCTTTGTTCAGTGGACTAAATAAAAACAGACCTTCCTTATTTAAGACAAATGTTAAAAGCCTTTGCTTGTGTTTCATTAGAAAACTTTTACTAATAGACTGTGGATTTACTTGCATAGTTTATACATTTTACCAATGTAGTGCCTCAAAAGGATGATTATTTGACCATCATTGTTGTGCTGGCAATGCACTTTGCAAAATTTCTGACCAAAACGTAGCATCAAGTTTTTCAAATAATGAAGGTGGTAACCACTAAATAGTGCTGCCCCAAGAAGCATAAAGTGCTAGCTAGCTAGCCAGTTATTGGCATCACCATCCTCCTACTACTGGCTGAAAATCCATCTTTTCTGCTGTGTATTCCACCACAAAAGGTGGCAAACATACAGTACTGTTCAGTCAGCTTCTGACTGTAATGAGCACACCATTCGAGAATGTCTGGTGGAATGCATGTGCCCAAACTTTTAAAAGTCACTCTTCCTATGCTTTCAAAGTGACAAGTGTTAGTGCAGAAATGTACAAGTTGAGACACAACACTTGATTTGATGTTAAATATATACAGTTGTGAAAAAAAAAAAAAGTTTACATGCAGCCCTATGTAGTCCTGTTAAAGAAATAAGTGCCCCCCTTACTGCTTCCACAGGAGTTAAGAGAACAAGAAGCAGCCTGGTCTTTGCCGCAAATGTACTAATTATCTGATGATTGGAAAGCAGGATCACTTTGATAAAAGCAGAAGTTTTGGCAATTTGTTGATCTGGAGCATTCAGGTATGCTCCAGATCAACTTCAAACCGCGCAAAGCTCATAAAACGCTCCAAGAGCCACGACTCAGACTCTACTGAGACCTGTTAAATGCTAACAGTTCATAATAGTATGATCTAAAAGGCTGAACAAGTATGGCTTTTTCAAGACATCTTGAACAACGTCCTTGTGGAGTGGAGATGTTTGACTGTAATGCACACCAAACATATTGGCAGAAAAACCTCATACTAACTGTCGACCACAATGGTCATGATTTGGACTTGTTTTTACAGCCAAAGGACCTGAGCACCTTGCAGTCCACCATGAACTCATTTGTATAACAAAGTACTCTTGACTCAAATATGAGGTCATCTTTCTGACAGCTAAAGCTTTTCTCAAATTGGGTTATGCAACAGGACAGTTTTCCCAAGCATAGCAGCAAATCTGCAACAGAATGACCGAAGAAGAAAAGCATCAAGGTGTTGCAATGACCCAGTCAAAGCCCAGACGAATGAGCCTGTCAAACCTCAATGAAGTGAAGCACCAAGAGTGGGTCATTCCTCCACTGTGACAAGAGGGTCTGATAAAGCCATAAAGAAAACAATTACTTTAAGTTATTGCAGCTAAAGGTGATCCTACAAGCTACTGAACCATGAGGTGTACTTAGTTTTCACTGGACTGCAGAGAGTTTGGAGAAAACTTTCTTTTCCAGCTCACTGTAGGTGTTACTATATTAATCATATCCAACTAAGTTGTTCTGAAGTTGCAGTGTGTGCAATGACCTGAAATAGACTAATGAAAAAAAATTGTCACCTTTAATTTTTTATGCGATGAGATGTCAAAATATGCCTTTTAAAGGTAATGTCGTGGTTGTCTCTTTGTTTTCCATCCATTTTAATGAATATAAAGACCTAAATATATTCACTTACCTGAGCCACTGTAAACTTTGCACGTACTTTGCACACTTTGTCTTATCATAACAGGAGGTACACAGGTGTAACCAGTGTTTTAATGGTTTTGGCAATGCTCTGTTACATTTTGGAGTGTCAGTAAGTCACCCCAGTGAGGCGGCATGCACCAGAGCCCTGGGATTTAAAATACATGGAAGAAAGGAAGACATCATTAATGTCATTAGTTACAGCTCTGTTTGACTTGTCAAAATGTCTGCTCCAAGAAAAGCATAATGACTTGAATTTGCATAAGCATTTGACAGGTGTTGAGCTGAGAGCATATTCTTTTCTCCCAGGGGTGCTCCTTACTCCGAGCCCAGACAGCATCGTTTTCTAATAAGATTTTCATGGGCTACTGTGGGTGAGATTTCTCTACTTTCACGTCCACATAAAAACACCAGAATTGAACGTATCCATCAAAGAAAACCAGATGGAGAACTGGCAAACCTCACAAAGTGGTGGAAAGTCATAGGGTTTAATCATATCCTTCATCGCATGCAGGTGATGCAAAGGTTTAATGCTGTTACTGGCTTAACCATCAAAAGGGCGATTTCTGGGCCTGTCAGAACACAGAAACGCTTCACTTCCTTGAAGATACCCCCACCCCATTTAAAAAACAACCACGTTAACACGCAGTCACCTCAGACGGAGCCTGCATACCTGCACGTAAATGGACAAGCGAGGTCTGACATGACTCACCTCTTCCACCTTTGCCCCGTGACTAATTTCACCTCTTTATAGGACCTCGGTCTCTCTGTACCCCGGGTGATTTAAGTTGTCTTTCTCTCTGTCTGCAGACCTGAATGAGTGCGGGCTAAAGCCAAGGCCCTGCAAACACAGGTGCATGAACACGTATGGGAGCTACAAGTGTTACTGCCTGAATGGCTACATGCTGATGCCTGACGGGACCTGTGGAAGTAAGCCTGTTTCTCTTGCACACACACACTTTGATTGTTAACACTCTTTGTGTTACAGCTTGAGAGGTGGAAGTTTCCTTTCCCTGTCTGAGTTCTCCTCATGGAGGATTCCTCTTTTCACTATATGTATCCATTTGTTTCTACAGGACACAGTGTTGATATCATTAAGAAATGTATTTCCCACTCGTACCCCTGACAGCAGCCTTACAATCCTTTGATAGACTGTTTTGATTAAAACACCGTGTTGATCTGCTTCATTATGGTAGCTCTGCAGACTAAAGAACCCTTGTGAAGAACCCTTTGAGGGCTGAAATGAAAAATATGAAAGAAACACAATCTACAGACCCTTGAGTGAATGTGCACATTTTCTTTTAGGGTTTTTTTTTATTGTTTGCCCCGAGGTAGTCCACAGAATGTGAGCTGATGCCTGAACATGTCTCCCTGTAAATTCTGTTTCCCACCTGATAACTATTTTCCCTGCACGTTTCCACTTGAGGACTATGACTCCCGATACCTCTTTTTAATTAGTTCTTTTGTACGAGGGGAAAATTCACTCCCCACCTTTTAAAGTCTAAATCGCGTAATACTTGAGGCAATCTGAAATTATCCTAGGTGTTGTTGTCTAATGATAGCATGATGCCGTTAAACACCTTGCTGCTCCTCCTTTCTCCCCTTTGATCAATAGATCACTGTAGCATTTAATCAGCCCGGCCTGCCTCAGTCATCAGACTCTACTCCAGGGTGCCGGCAGCAGCTGAAGTCGCAGTGGCAGCAAAAGCCTCACTTTTAATTTCCTTTTTAGAGTCCACTGTTATCAAGACAGGCCAAAGAAAATCTGTTTCATTACGTTATTATTTTTGGAAGTTCTTGATCTGCCCGGCACGTCTCAACAACACTCACGCCTCACGCTGTTGCTTTGATATCGAGTGGGGGAGATGGATTATCAATCTTTGGGTGTAACAAAGGATAAAAGTGGGCAGGGGGAAGATTGCTGGAGCTAAGGTGTGAGCACATGGCAACTGCACAGCAGAGAAGTCTAATAATGGCAGAGTGAGTGCTGTGCCGCTGGCAGCACCCCAGGGTCAAGCTGGCTAATATCAGAAAAGGCAGGCGAGTGGCCTGGCTGTTATAAATTGGCTGGAGGAAAAAGAAGCGTGTGCGCGTGTGTGTGTTGGTGTGAGGGGAAAAAAGTGTAGGTGAGAATGGCATAAACTCTTCTCCCTTTGTACTCCCCAGTGGCACCAGTGTGTGTTAATGTGTGCCGTGTTTCTCTTTTACCCATCAGACGCTCGCACTTGTGGTATGGCCAACTGTCAGTATGGCTGCGAGGTGCTGAAAGGAGAGGTCCGATGTCAGTGTCCGTCGCCAGGGCTACAGCTGGCTCCGGATGGGAGAACCTGTGTGGGTACGTCCCGGTCTTAAAATATCTCCACATGCCTGAAAGCTGAGCTACTCTTATCTGTGAGCGACTTGCAGCATGTAAATCCTCATAAATATAACTTTTTTTTTGTTTGTGTGTGAGTATGTGTTTGTGTGTTTTTCTCAGCCTTTAAATTTGCTAATCAAAGGCAACTATTTTGGCAAAGGAAGAAAAGAAACTGGCAGAACAAATGCAGTTTAGCCACTCGAACGCAAATCCTCAAAGCAAACAACTCATCAAAGTTGAATTCATCCAAATTGCTTCACAGCGCATAACTTTGATTTCATCGTCAGTCCTTCTCGACCAAGTTCTGTTTGCTTCCTGTTGCTTTTACAGCAGGAATGCGATCGAGGGAATCCCACATATCTGCCTTTACTGCCAATTTTATGTGACACTGCTCCTCAGAGGGGTACCTTAACAGATGAGGTGGGCAGTTGAGGCAGTTAACCTGTGTCAGGTTTAAACACAGGGTGTTCACTAGAGGCTGTTCCCCTTTATGCTGCCTTATAGGGCCACTTAACTGCTGGGCGGCTAAAGGGGTGGTTTTCTAAAATAGCACAGACATGAATCATGAAGAATTATGAAGGGGACGGAACCCTTTGCCTACCACAGGTGTTACGACAGTAAACTTTGGACGTGGAGAGTTTTATGGAAGCTCTATAATCATCCTCATGGACGTGATTCCATCTAGGAACCAGAGACTGAAGTGAAGCATCTGGCAGCTAATGAGGTTAATTAGTAGCATGACTGGATATAAAAAGAGAAGATGAGTCTGTCAGATGTAAAAATGGAGAAGGGTGTGAAAGTCTGAATTTGTAAGTGGTTCAATAAGTTAAGAACCACTTTCTTAATGTAAAATTACAAAATCTACTGATGTAAGAGATGTAAGAGGTCAAAAATGAACAAAAGGTGCGTGAGCTTCAGGCCCTCAGGCACCACTGCATTAAAAACAGACACTTTTATGCATGGACTCAGGAACAATTCTGAAAAGCATTGTCAGTAGACACAGTTTATTGCTGCCGCCCCAAAATGCAAGTGAAAACTGTAGCATGAAATAAACAACCCTCTGGGCCTGAGCTCCTTCAGTGTGGACTGAGGTAAAGAGTAAAAAGTACCCTGTGGTCTGTCGATTCAAAATTTGAGTTTGGAAATGATGTGTCCTCCAGGCTAGGAAGGAAAGCAGTTATGATGGTATTATGGGGTGTTGGCATTAACGCATATGTCATAAATAACTGAAAAGGCACCATTAATACAGGACACTGTGTACAAGTTTTGAAACAATATTATGTCGACATTTGAAGACATTTTTCAGCATGAGGAAAGTGATAAATAAAAATAAATAAATTTCTTATTTCACCAAGAAAATCCTAAGATACATTTTGCCAGCAGAAACCCACTGAAACCATTTGGCACATTACTGCATGAAACAAAAAAAAAGAAAAACCTAAACAAACAAAGGAGGCCTAAATATCAACATCATGAGAAACATCTCACACTAAAAACTACAGTTATTGGTTTTTAATGAGGAAGAGATGATGAAACGCTGTCGGTCAAATCTGTGTTTTTTAAGCACTTAACATTCAAAATGAGCGCATATTCTTAAAAAGTCCATTTGATATGTTGTACTTGTACTATATTCAATAAAATATAGCACTGGGATGACTAGAAAATCTTGCATTCCCTTTGTACTACTTCACACAGTGTTGCAACTTTTGTGGAAATGGGATCGTAGCGCACTGCTGCTCATATCTGTAGCTTTGCTCTCATACATGTTTCAAAGTGCACGAACGCTGCGATCGGCGCGTCGTAGTGTGTCGGATGTTTTAGTTGAACTAATTCTCTGTAAACTAAACAGGAATGAGTACAAGTTTGTATGAATCAGTCATTATAAACCATATACTGTATATTCATCCCATCGGCCATTCCGGGTTTTTTTAATCATTGGAAGCGACTGAAATGCATGAATTGGTACAAAATGTAAACATAATAGCTCCAGCAGGACCACTGTAGCTGTTTTAGGAAACTCCACACGCTTCAGTGTTTGTTTACTAAAAGGGCCGGGAATCCTTGAAGAAGGATGTCTCACGATTCACTGGATGAAGGTATCGACTTGTTTTTGCTCAGTGACAGAATTTGACTGAAACACCATCTGATTAAAGTCGGCTTCTCACAGAAGCTGTCACTTTCAGCACATTTTAAAACATAAACATTGCTGATATAGAATCTGTGAATGTGAAAATGGGGTAAACATGATTTGCTTTTTACTCTGTATAAAGGTGCAGTTACTTTACTTTGTGATTTCAAATATAATAATCCACGTCTGCCCTTGCTGTGACGGCAGTGATGTATCCACAACTGTTGGCCATTAAGCAGCTCCACTCAAGCAATTTGGGATTAAGATCCTCGCTGATGAGACCCTCAGCAGTAGTTGTTAATGGGATGGGAAGAGCTCGGCCCACTCACCGCTCTCGCTTGTTTTCCCAGCTGGTCCAGGTGACTTTAGTGTTTTTAAGGTTATTTTAAACAACAGTTTCTGAGCACCTCAGCTGCATTATGCTGCAAATAAATTAAAGATTTTAAGGCGAAGCTTTCAGGCTCCCAGCGTCTAAATATTAATGATCACATGCCTGTAAAGGTGATCAACAGAGACACTTGGAAAAAGTCTTTAAATAATGAAACAAGCTAGTGTGTGTTGTTTTCCGCTCGCTGAGCAGAATGTAAAAGGAGCTTTGTTCATAAATGAATACTAAGCAGGGATGAAGAACATGTGTTCCGGCATGAATAGTAATGTTTAGTTTAGATTCAATTATGCTTTATAATCTCAAATTTTTTTTTAATCACGTTGTTTTATTTTGAGTGCACTTCTTATATAATGCATTATAGACATTTATCTGAGCATTTTCCTCAATTTCTCAATCTTCTTTCTTTTGCAGATGTGGATGAGTGTGCAGCAGGGATAGCAGTGTGTCCCAGGTTCAGGAAATGTATCAACACCTTTGGTAGCTACATCTGCAAATGCCACGAAGGCTTCGACCTGCAATACATCAACGGAAAATACCAGTGCATAGGTACTGTGGCAGCGCCTCTGTTGTGAGGCTTCGACTGGCAATACTCACACAAAGGTCAAAGGTGCGCTGAGGTGGCTTGAATTTAAGCCGAGGTACTTTTAGTGATGCACGTTTTGTTTTTGAACTGCTTATGAAGGAGCCCGATGAAAAGAAAAGAAACACGCATGCAGAGATGAGTAGCAGAAATCCATGTTTGATACTACAATGGGACAAACTTCTGCTTTGCTTTAGTATTTTAATTTAATGCTTTGATGCGGTTTTCAACCAATCTCTCATTTAGCAGGCCCGTTGTGATTTTCTGTTTGTAGGTTAATTGGTTGTAAAACAATTAGTTTAAAAAACATGATTCCGTGTAACAACTACATCAGTAGATACTTTGCAAAGGGAAAACAATGCAGTAACAAAAAACAGGAAAAATTGCATTTTAAAATGTAACTTGTACAAGCAATTAACCATATCTCACATGGTTATGGAGGAGTCTTGCCTTTGCAACTCTGGATCATATTCCCGTTGCATTTTTCAGTTTTAGCTGTCAGACAGATGGCCTCACATTTAACTTTAGAATATTTTGATACACAGAGAAGTTCATGGCCGACTCAATGACTGCAAGGTGCATGGATGCAGTAAGTCCATACTTTCTTTTTCACATGACTGTATTTTTCAACTAAAAGAAAAACAGAGATTAAAAAAAGTTAGTAATATGGCAATTTAATAAACTTTTAACTTTCAAAAGGTGGATTTTTAATTGTTAGTATCATGCTTATGAATTCTAACCACCAAAAATGTGAAAAACAAATACAGATTAGCTTCTATCGCAATTCCTGTCCTATTTTATCTGCTTTTGAATAAAATGATCAAGTTAATCAGATTAAAGAACGGCCAAGAGCAACTTGGCAGGTGCTCTTTAAATGTCTAAAAGACACATCTCTGTATCTTGGGGAGGACTTTTACAACAACCTTCATGATGATTTTTTCTCTGGTATTCATAAAAGGTCGACTATTATCCACTTGAACTCTTTCACTAACGGTACGACATAAATTTTGAAGCTTCCTTTAAGTGGATGTGAAGCAATTAGCGTTTGATATTCTGCTTTTACGTTTTAAGCTTTCTGCACTTGCACCCAGGAGCTGAATGTTGTTATGCTTCCATTATCTTTCAGATGTGGATGAGTGCTCTTTAGGTCAAAGCCACTGCAGCAGCTTTGCCACCTGCTACAACACGCCGGGCTCATACAAGTGCAAATGCAAAGACGGCTACAGGGGGATGGGCCACGACTGTAAACGTAAGTCCTGAGAGAAAACCCCGGGACTAATATTCAGTTTAGCAACAAGGAACAGGGCTTCAGGTTCTTTTGCTTTTTTCTTTGCGTGTGTCTTTAAAAATGTGCTGGGGGGTGGGGGGGGAGCAGGGAGAGAGGAAGAAATAGGCTTGCAAGCACAAAGCTTGGACTGAAATTCCTTTCTTTGTAATAGCTGTCAGTCATTACTTGACTCACCCTGCCCCTTTATTGCATGTGCCCAGATTGACTTGGTTTTTTGACATGCGGCTCGGGTAATAAGGACACAAAGAGGAGTCGTCATCATCTGTGATTTGTTGTGATCTGTTAGTTGGTCTCATTCTGCTTACTGACACAGAGTTCATCACAGTGTGTGTCTGCACTTTTTACAGCAGCTCAGTGGACAAAGAGTCATTTATTCTTCACAGTTATTTAACCAATGGACAGGCGCATCTCATGTGGCATTCCACAGAGCAAAGTTGGAACCTGCTGCATATACTTCACCCCACCGTCCTGCCCAAAGGGTGTGAGCCGCAAGTGCTCAGGGAGTCACGTTGCAATATCCTATTCATGTATCACATATCAAAGTCGCCTGCAACCTGAAAAGGCAATAACAGAGTTCAAACCTTTTGCCTTTGTCCACTCTCATTCTTCACTCGTGAAATCCTTAGGAAACTGCCACTATCACCCCCTTCAAAAAGAAAAAAAAAGAAAGCCAACCCCCCAATCTGTGTCTCTGCTCCTGGACAATGTGTGCAGCCACAAAGGAAAAGGCGGTGTAGCTTTGATGACATGAGCGAGGGTGATCTTCGGGGCACAGCAGCTTGACTTAGTGCAGAAATCATTCCATACACTCCAAGCAGCTCTAGACTTATGCTGCGAAGCCTCTGGCTATGAGTATACAAAGAATTACTAATCAAGATGACCGCACGGACAGATAAAAAAGACATAAGAAAGCAAGATCAATTTTCAAAGAGCAGGAGTTCACTGAACGTGGGCTGTCTTAATGGTTCAGCTTGTGAAGTCCTGTAACTGTGAGCAAATGAGCTTCGTTAGCAGCTGTGAGCTTTTGCTTTCAGTGTGATTGGAGACACCCAATTTGTTTTAGAGTGCTAACATTTAGGTAATGGTTATCAGAAGTCTCAGTAGATGAAGTAAAGCCCTCTTCTTCAAAAAAGTGAGGCTAATAATTGCAGTTAGTCTGCAAATGTATGCCTCATTAACTCTTAAGTGCTCATATTTCAGTGCTCCATCTGCATTTTCTTATTATTTCAGCCATCCCTAAAGTGGTTATTGACCCCCCGAGACCAGGCAAAGTGCCTCCAAATCATCACAACCACATCCCAGACTTGGATCAGCAGAGGACCACCACCACTCGCCCACCAGTCACTCCAAAGATCATCTTCCCTAAATTGCCGCCAACCACCACAACTACAACCAAGGCACCCCGCCTGAGGGTGACCCCATCGCAACACAAGCCGTTGGTCCCCACCCGAAAGCCCTTCATACCCACCCAAAAGCCCTTTATACCCACCCGAAAGCCCTTCATACCCACCCGAAAGCCACCGGTACCCACTCGCAAACCCTACATCCCAAGGCCAGCAGTTCCCACCAGACCACCTTTCCCACTGCCACCGGTCACACCAGTGGACAATACCATCCAGAAGGAGGTCACCAAGCAGAGAGGGGATGTTCACAGTAAGAGGCTTCTTGCTTTACTACGGTGTTGTTTTGTTTCAACAGGTGATTTAAAGTCATTGTGACATCTTCCTCCCCTTTTCAGATACATACTTACAACTCAAAGTTTTTGAGTTATAAGTATAGATATTGTTTTTTCTTAAGTGAATACACATGAAATATTAAAAAAGCACAACTGTTTGATGTGCTTCCTCCAGATGTTTACTGGAGGAAGCCGTAAGCACAAAATTTACATTTTTACCTCGTACAGTTGTTAGCAGGCAGCTGTTTGTTTACACATCTGGCACACAAAGAGCAACATCAGTATTAACTTTAAGTGTGTTTTTCTTTTTATCTGGCAAACAAGTTCAGTCCTCCCAAAATGAAGAAGACATCTGCTTATTAAAATGACCCCCTTTACACTTCACTATCCAAACATAGTCATAAAACGATTGATGTTGTGTTGTGTGAGGGACACTTTCATCAGGAAATCAAGTGACATAAGACATATTTAGATCCAACTGTAGAGTCTTATAAGGTGTTTCTTTGTCTGTTCCACATGCGTCCACTAATCTGTTTTGATGTATATAAGAAAAAAAATCTGGCTCTTGAGCTGCTAAATGCTCTGCAATGTTCAGCAGTGAGCTGCTATTTTGAGTGATTGCTGCTTGTTGCAGGGCAGGTAGTGTACAATGAGTGTTTACAGCTTTTTCACTGAGAACAGCTGCTGTGTCTGGAAAACAAGGCTGACTAGAGGCAGTAAAACTGAACCAGAACAGTAAAGCTGTGGGCTGCAGAACAAAAACAGTGAGCTTAAACACTCCATACAGGTGATGCAGTCTTTCACATAGCACATATAGAACTACAGGTTGTTCTTATAAATGTATTTTTTGGGGGGATGGAACAGCTTTAACTGCTCTGAACATGTAGGAAAGCCTTGTTTGTTACCTTGGGGTTGTGGCTCAGGACGATTCAACATGTTCTCCAGCAGTTGTAAGGTCAGTGGTTTGATGCCCGGGTTCCTCCTGTCTGTATAGCACCCTTGGTCAAGATACTGAGCATTCATCAGTATGTGAGTGCATGAATGTGAGACATGGGGCTCAGACACAGAATAAAGCTCTGCGTGAATATATTGTGTATGATTGGGTACTCTTGTAATGAAAAGTGCTGTGAGTGCTCAGTTCAGAAGAGCACTCTATAAGCACCTGTGCATTTACATTAACAGCTTCAGCTTTGTGATTATGAAATGAACCCTGTTTTCTTTTGGTTTCCTTATAGCTGAACTGCTCATTTACACCATGGGTCTTCATCAGCTCTGTAACCCACCATGCAAATCAAAACAAACCATATATATATATACAGTGGGGCAAAAAAGTATTTAGTCAGCCACCGATTGTGCAAGTTCCCCCACTTAAAATGATGACAGAGGTCAGTAATTTGCACCAGAGGTA